TTAAAAAATTATTCCTCTCGATTTCATTCTGAACTGCTTTAAGGTAATTGAATGGGACCCCGTCCGTACTACATATCAGCAGAACAAGAAGGAGATTTTATTTGGAGCATTTGTCACTGTAACACTATTTTAATCTGTGTCTTTAAAATACACAAAATTTATAATTTTAAGTGAAGTACATGGGGTTATAACTTCACTAGATCATAAGGCTTTGTACGCGTCAAACGCCAACGGCAGAGGTATGTATCAAGCAACACCTCGACATTGGGATGCTGGTGTAATCGTTCTACATGATTTCTGGCGAATCATGGGTCTCTTCTTTAACAATAGGTATCTTAAGGTCTCTATTGATGTCGGAATTCCTCACGTACCACTGCGCATTGAGTTGCCAATATTGCAGTATCGTCGGCAAATGTTACAATGGTGAAGTCTTCAGTTGTTGGGATGTCGCAGGTGTAAATTAAGTATAACAAGGCACCATGAACGCTGCCCTGTGGTACCCTTGCTCTCTAAAGTTTGAGTACTCGCATTCTGATCTTACGCTAAATATTTGTCCGGTGAGATATGAGTTTATGATCAGAGCATAGCGTAGTACTCTAGGCAGTTTGTAAATTAAACCTTTACTCGAGACCCTGCGGAAGCCCTTGGCCACATCTAAGAAGATTGTTCTGCAGAACTATTTTGTCTTCTCGATCTGGTGTAGTATGGACTAATGTATTGGGGAGTGTCTGATACGAAATCCGAATTGGTAATCCGATATTATGTTTTTTTCAGCGAATATCGGTTTTATTCTCCTCAATAGTATTTTTTCGAATAGCTTCCAGATAACTCGAAGCAACGATATTGGTCTGTATGACTTGATCTCACTTGGTCGTTTCCCTGATTTTGGCAACATTATGACTTCCTCCACCTTCCAACTGCCGGGAAAGTGCCGCAGTAAACAGATACGTGAGCCAACTACTTTTTTCGGAAAGTGCTTGTAAAAAAAGGGTTAGACACGAAAATGTAATATTGCCAAATTACTTTTTTATTTCTGTCTTAGCCACTAATAGCATTGAATTTATAACTATCAGAAGCGCAGGTTAAATGGCAGGATATGTGACTGTTTTCAATAGTTTAAATTACAAGACGTAGATGTCTCTACCATCGAGAAAGATGAATAATAATGTCAGTTTTTTACCTTTGTTAATTATTATACAGGAATCTGTAATGAACCCACTATCTCGATTTGTAATTGTTGTATACAGAATTCTAGATACCCAAGAAACGTACTTATAAGGCATTTATGTGGCACACAGGATGTTGAATGACGTAAGATAAACATTCTTCCTTTCATGAATCGTGACCTTACTTAACATTCCTTAAGGAAGATTGAATTACATTTGAACAGGAAAGCAAAAAATACGCAGGCATCCTTGATCACTGTAACAGAAATTAAATGTACCTACCTATCTATTCTTAATTTTTGTGTGTGTCGGTTAAACCGTTGCCACCGGTTAAACTACCTAGGACAGGGGTCGGCAACCTATTGAAACGGAAGAGCTAAAAATTACAATTTACAAAATTTCCCAATTCTTAAAGAGCCACAAATAATTTTTGATTCAATATTATAGTTTTTGGCTATATACAGGGTCCTGCAACAGTCCGTCGGTTTTTCCTACATAGCTGATAGATACCTGGTAAAAATATTGGTGGTTGCGGATCTACAGAAATTATTTTTGAATGTACAGGGTGTTCCATTCCATTTTTACGATGTCAATTAATAACTGATCTTTTTAAATAGAACATCCTGAATATTTGGTTGTTTCAATGCCGTTTGTTCAAAGTGCTATAACTATTCTTTTTCAAATGGAACTACCACTATTTTATTTCGCTATTCGCTTTTGTCTTCTCTTAAATGTTTATAAGGGGTGCCCTGTGCTTAAACTCCGCAGTGTTTAGGTTATTTCACAAAAGTACCTACTCATTAATTAATTACGTGTACATCGGAGTAGGCTGGCTATAATAAAAAAAACAAAAGAATACCAGAAAGTAAACAAGCGTCAAAAATTAGATAATTATTTGCTGCAAGTATACTTTTGATACAAAATAAGATTAATTAAAAAGGCGAATTTCGAACAAATGAACTAATTTCTTTAGATAAATACGGAGAGCCGCAACTTTATAGGTATCAAAAGAGCCGCAGGTTGCCGACCCCTGATCTAGGATCACACGTCACACCTGGCAATTTTGATACAAAATAAAAAGGTCGTTAACCTCTTTTCTTTTAAATTCTGACGTTTGAAATTTGTTCTCAATGGTTAATCGATAACTTATCGATAATTATCGATTAATAGATAGTCAATCGATAAATTTAAAAAAAAATGGTCGACCGGTCAACAAAAAAAGAATTTTTTGCGCATGGGATTTACACAATATATATTCTGACTATAATAAGCAAAAATAAATAAAAAGTGCGATTAAGACATCGAAAATATTTGCTTTTACAAAAGTTACAGCGGTTTGATTGAAAGCTTTCAGGGGCGAAAATTAAAGCGGAATCTTTGTTTTCCCTAAAAAAAAGAAAAATGGAGGGTGATATTTTTCCGCGGTTACTTAGCAAAGAGGAAAAAAAATCCTGGAACAGTTTTAAGGCAATAGTCCATGGTTTCCCGTTCAGTGTTTCCTGGGAAACCATAGAGCTGAAAATTATGACGAGCTGACAGGATTTGGTTTTGTATCATGGGGTATAGAATGTCTCTAAAGAATAAAGATGCACAGGTTACATTCTCATTTAGATCAATTTAAGGATAATATGGGAGCTTATTTGGAATAAGGACAACACTTTCTCGAGACAATTGAACTTAGGTACCTTCCCAAGGCCAGGAAGTTGGAAGCATGATGGAAGATCAGATTCAGTTGAACATGACAAAAACAGCAAAACTGTTCCATTTTTAAACATTTAGACTCTAAGATAAACAAATTATAAATGTAGAAACGTTACCATTTAATAAATCATGCCTATGTAAGTAGGATGCTATAGGTATTTTTTTTTAGGTTTTTTGCATTTTTTTCACACAAAAACAAATACATAACCATTTTTTGTTCTAATTCTTATTTGTGGCTATAGAAGCAATAAAAATAAGGTATATATGTCCCGTGCGCAAAAATGCTGTAGACCGGTGTAATTTATCGAAAATGTTAAAGTATTGGTCGATAAACCTATAATTACCGATAATCTATCGATTAATCTCACAACTAAACTATTAAGATAGATAATTATCGAGAGAATTTTTAACGACATAAACTTTTCAATGTTTAGGTATACCAGTTTACTTCCAACAAAAGCGATGTAAGAGCATTGTTGAGTTGCCATATGATCACAATTCACAACCTACTGCTGTACTCATTTTTGAGGATTATCGTCCACTTGATCACCTTTGATTTCAGAAAACTTGAGCATCAAAAGATCCTGTTTTATTTAAATTATCTCTCGCAATATCAATACCAAAAAAACAAAAATGTTAGCGAGTGTACGCATGGATGATGTAATATATCGATTGAGAATATATATCGATGAGATTTATGAAAAAGTATCGATAGTTTTCTCTTGATAATTTCCGCTACTTATTTATTAATCAATAAATATCAGAGATAGACAATTTTCGTGGCAATAATAATCGATTATTATCAGCAGCTAACAATCATTATTAATTATTTTCAAAAGTTATCGATAATTATAAAAAGTTATCGATAATTATCAAACGTTATCGATCATTATCGAAAATTAGCCTTACGATTTATCGATAATTGTCGATTATTATCGAAAGTTAACGATAAGTGATTAAAGTTATCGATAATTATCGATAGTTATCAATTAATGATTAATCGATAATTATCAGACTGAACAGACTTATCGATAAATCGATAACAATTTCATTTATCGCTCAGCTCTAGTAGGTATACGAATTCACGTAAACTGGGACCGATTTATTTGTGCACAATGCTGCATGGTTATAAAAAAAGCTGATTCGCGAAATTTAGTTATCAAATGTGAATGTGGAAATGATGTAGCTGCCTGCTTGCAACGGACAATATTTTGCCTTCAAATTTTTTTTGATCGTTTTTTAATAACAAAATCTCCCGCTTTCAGTAAAAATGTGGAACCTGCCTATTTTACTGCCTGTGAATAGAATGTATGAAATTGCATTCCTTCAAGGACAAGGACTGCAAGCTTCGTTCGTCTAAATGTATTATTATTTACATTACAAATTTACGCAATGCTTCTTAAGGGATCTATTTTTAGAACATTCCAATCCTATTTATAAAACCATTCCAATGATAACACAAAAAACATCCGGAGTTCCTGACATCTGACGATTAAAAAGGAAAATATTCGAATGGTCAAAATAAATGGTTTGTAATGCTGCCATCTAATGTCAATGTAACGCTCCACTTTCGATCGCCCACGGACTTTCAAACGATCGAACTGCTCCTAGCGGCGGCCAGTTGGCACATGGTCACAAACTGTTATATGGGATCCGCGCTTCTGATAGTTATAAATTCAATGCTAATAGTTTGCGAAATTGTAATTTTCTGAGATCCCTAAGGTCCTTAGATTAGTTTAGGTCCGATCATGGCCACCTAGATACAATATTAAAAATGTAAAAAATAAAAACATAAAGGGTTTTCCATTTAAAAATTCAAAAGCTGGACCATTTTCGGTGAAATCGGAAGTCAGCGGAAAGAGAAAAATAGGCAAAAACTCTCCTCTTCACGTACCACTTACTTGTACCAAATTTCATTTTGATACAACTAATACTCTAGCTAGAAGTTATGGCTTGTCTAATAGATTCGTTGACACCGTATACTTGTAAGCTGAAACTCTGGTGTTTGCACCGGAATTTCTTCATAATGCGCGCTGTTGTCACGAATAATTATAGCACTAGCATTGGTTTGGTTTGTGGAGTCGGTTTCTGTTAGGAGACATATATCTGTTTTGTTGATATGAATAAATACTTCTACTTATCCTTTCCGCTCTCTGACCCCATTGGCGTTCCATGTGGCCATTCTAAGTTCGCCGCTGACCATGGCTTGAGGTACGAGTACTTCGCGGTATAGCCCCCAGACTCTTTAGCCTCGACTTTCATAAGTCTTTGCGAGGGATCTTCTAATTTGATCATCATATTTTGCATCATCTGCTGACGGATATTTCCCCTTGTATTTGTCGGGTCGCTTGAGAGTCGCTGCTTGAAAATAAGTCATCTCAGTTGTTGTGTGGTAATTACCTTTGCAGTGGCAATTTACTGAACTCGTGGGGTCCACAATCCCACTGTGATAATTTGCGGCTATCACCAAAAAAATAATGTACTTTACATTGATTTGTAGAACTTTGCGGCGTCTAACCAAAATAAAACAAATAGGTAGCGTAATAACAATTTACATTTAATTAACAAGAAATATATACATTGAGGTGAACAAAAAGGTGCTTACTGTTCAGCAGTTCGAAACCGACTCTGCTTCATTTAGGGATACTTGTCCCTGGAATCTTAAAACTACCGTTAGGCCTTGTCGAAATACCAAGAAGGTCTCTTCTAAATAAAAATACTAGGAAATTCTCAACAACTAAAAGGTCTTTTGTGAAAATACTAAGAAATTCTCAACATGCCCCCGGCCTTGAAAGAAGGCTTTCAATAATATACTGCATTTACTTAACCTAACAATATAACAATGAAAACTGAATACAAATTGAATCTAGAGTGTACATCATGGTTTCTTAACAACTAACAATTTTCAAGAACAAGAAAAAACTATCATCACTGCACAAATAATTAATCATTTGCGCTTCACTATAACTATACGATTGGCAGAGGACAAATTTTTGCAAAAGAACGTTTCACCACTCCATTTATAGTTTTCACAGATGCAACTCGCGCTACTCCGTCTGCACCGGGATGAACAGCTACAACAAGACCCAGCTTCCAATGTAGAGGTGGCTGGTTATCTTCTTTCAAGAGCACCAAGGTGCCATTTTTGAGGTCGGACAGATGAGATCGCCATTTCGTGCGCTGCTGTAGCTCGTTTACATATTCTTTACTCCATCTCTTCCACAGGCGTTGATGAAATTGTTGAACTAGCTCAAATGCTTTGAGACGTGGAATCGGTATACTGCTGACGTCTGGATCTGGCAGTGAAGTCAGTGGTCTTCCAATCAAAAAATGTGCCGGCGTGAGGGGTTGGAAGTCATTGGGATCGCTTGATAAGGGAGAAAGCGGACGGGAGTTGATAGTCGCTTCAATTTGAGATAGCAAAGTACTAAACTCTTCATACGTGAGTAAGGATGTACCTAATACTCTCCTTAAGTGTGATTTTACGGATTTTATACCGGCCTCCCACAGGCCTCCAAAATGAGGACTATGGGCAGGAATAAAGTGCCATGTGGTGCCTTCAACAGCAAACGTTTTATTGATGTGATCGCCGTTACTCTTTAAAAATAAGCTCAATTCTTTCAGTAGCGAATTGGCTCCAACAAAATTGGTTCCGTTGTCGGAATACACGTGAGACGGTTTTCCTCGGCGGGAAGCAAACCGCCTGAATGTCATTATGAAGGACTCCGATGTTAGATTAGTCACCAGTTCCAAATGAACTGCTTTGGTCACAAAGCAGATGAAAAGGCATAAATAGCTCTTAGAGGTTTTGGCACCTCGGCCCTTGTGGTTTTTAATGAGGAAAGGACCTCCATAATCTACGCCAACGGTGGAGAATGGAGGTGCAGCTTGTACACGAGAAGGAGGTAAATCGGCCATGATGGGTTTTACCAGTTTGGGAGAGAATCTGAAACACTTCATGCATTTGTGTACCGTCTGCTTAGTTAGACTTCTTCCAGAGATAATCCAAAATTGGTTCCTAAGGGAATACAGAAGAAGCTGTGGGCCAGCGTGTAACAATCTCAAGTGCTCTCGGAGAGTGAGTAGTTTGGCCAATCGATGTTTTCCCGAGAGTACAATAGGGTGAATCTTATCAAATTGATAATTTGATTTGCGAAGTCTGCCACCAACGCGCAGGATACCTTCTGAATCCAAAAATGGATTCAGACTTATTATAGAGGAGGACCGCTTCAGGGGGCGATTTCGTCGTAGCTGATTCAGATCTTCACCAAAGGATTCGATCTGAGATATTTTTATCAGGCATAAAAGAGCGGCTCGAATTTCGAGTACTGTTAGAGGGCCAGTGATGCGATTTTTCATGACCACGCGACAATTATTAATAAATCGCAACAGAAATGCAACAACTCTTTCCAATCGAGATATATCGGAAAATTTGTCGATTAGATTAAATGATGTTGTAGTAATAAGCGAGTGAGTTTGAAGCTTGAACTCAGGTAGGTGTGGGAGTGAATCAGGTGGTTTTGGCCATGATGATTCACAGCTTGCGAGCCAGTCGGGCCCATTCCACCATAATTGAGTGGACTTTAAAGATTTTGGCGTGACTCCCCTGGATAGCAAGTCAGCAGGATTGCATTTGGTGGGAACGTGTCTCCAGATTGCGGAAGAAGTACGCTCCTGTATATCAGCGACTCGATTGCATATAAAGGTTTTCAATAGATTAGGGCTGGTTTTTACCCATCCTAACACTATTGTAGAATCTGACCAAAGGTACGTGGCGGATACTCTCATATTTAGCGAATTAATTACCTGTTCAACAAGTTTAGCTAACAGGACAGCGCTGAGTTCTAGTTTGGGAATGGTAAGGGGCTTTAGGGGCGCCACTTTCGATTTGGCACATAACAAACTTATATGAATTTTATTACTTTGATCAACAGATCTGAGGTAGATGCACGCGCCATATGCGCTGATAGAGGCATCACAGAATCCATGCAGTTGAATGTTAGTTGATCGAACGCATATGGAGTGCCTGGGTATTTGGAGTTCACTAAGCTCTGTTAATTCGCTCCTATAAGAGGACCACTTCAATAAAATCGGCTGTGGCTCCGGATCATCCCATCCTAATTTCTCCAGCCAAAATTGTTGTAAGAGTATTTTAGCACTAACGGTGCATGGACTGAGAAGGCCAAGCGGGTCAAACATTTGAGCAATTTGAGAAAGAATAGTACGCTTGGTTATCTTACTTATGGGAGCTGGTGAGATGGTGAAGGTAAAACTATCGGTTTGAAAATTCCAAATTAGTCCCAGAGTGATAGTATGATCATGGGATCCCAGTTCCAGTAAGCCTGGATGGATGTCCTCCTCGGGTAAGTGAGCCAGTACCCTTGGATCGTTGGAAATCCACTTACGAATCGGAAAGCAACCTTCACGAAGGGCATGTGAGACTTTAGAGGCGAGTACTTGGGCTTCAAAAAGATCATCGGCGCCAGTTAAGAGGTCATCGACATAGAAGTCGGACTTGATGATGCTTGACGTTTTGGAATCGAATTTTTCGATGTCTATTCCAATTTGATATAAACATCGGATGGCGAGAAATGAAGCAGATGCTGTACCGTACGTAACGGTGTTCAAGTCATAGGACAAAAGCGGCTCAGAGGGAACAGGTCTCCACAAAATGCGTTGCAGGGGTCTCTGATCTGGGTTTACTAGAACTTGTCGGTACATCTTTTCAATATCAGCTGAAATCCCGTAAGTATATTTTCGAAATCTCACCAATATAGAAAAGAGGTCCTGTTGTATGGTTGGGCCAACCATTTGAAAATCATTGATAGACCGTCCCGACGTAGTCGATGAGGAACCATTGAATACCACTCGAAGCTTGGTGGTAAGGCTTGATTCCTTCATCACTCCATGGTGGGGAAGATAATACGAAATGCCTCTAAAGGATGCATTTGAAAGTGACATGTGGCCTAGATTTTGGTATTCCTCCATAAAGGCAGTATAGCGCTCCAAAATGATGGGATTCATTTGAAGACGCCTCTCCAAAGCGAAAAATTGTCTTTGAGCCTTATTGTATGATTCTCCTAGGGTGTCGAGAGGAGCCTTAAAAGGAATGTCGACAATAAATCTTCCGTCTTCATCTCGTGAGACGGTTTTCGTAAAGTGGGTCTCGCATTCCGTCTCCTCAGCTGAATGTACCTTGTCAGAAGGATAGCTTTCTAATTCCCAGAATTTGGCTAACTGTTCAGGAAGATCGTTTAATACACTCAAATTGCATTGCGATTTGGTAGAAGGGATGGCACCTATAGGGCCAGAAATTACCCATCCCAGTTGGGTTTTTTGTAGAAGGGGCATGTTTGGGCCTAACCTTATTTGACCCGCGCATAATAAAGAAAAGAATAGAGGCGATCCGATTAACATATCAATATTTCCGGGAGTATTGAATGATGGATCAGACAATTTGATGTTTTGGCAGTTTGATGTTGCAGTTAAAGCGGAAACTAGGCATTGTGCCAGTGATCTCTTCAAGAATCAAACAAGAAACGTCCTCTTGAAAACCCGAATATTGAGATCGTAAAATTACACAACATTTTGATCGAATAGTGGATGATAATTTACTTAAACCTGACACCGTAACGTTAGCATTTTCGACGTTCAGCTTCAATTTCTGACAAATGCTAGCGCGAATGAAATTAGACTGCGAACCAGAATCTAATAAAACACGAATTGTGTGTGCCGCTCCAGTAGAATCAAGAATTTGAGCTGAAGCGGTTGGTAGAAGAACTTGAATGGTGTTCGTGCAAAATGCAGCAATACTTTGACTTGGTTCATCGTTATTGCTACTAGAAGGATTGGACTCTATTTTCCGCCCAGTAGGCGCCTCTTGGCTAGCAGGACCAGAGCTTAGGTGCAGCAGGGAATGATGCCGCCCCTTGCAGGTGCGACAGCTGTATTTAGAAGTACACTGAGTTATCATATGACCCTTGTACAGACAATTCAAACATAGTTTTAATTCTTTAACTTTGGCAATTCTTTGAGATGGAGAAAATTTTAGAAAATGCTCACAAGAATTGAGTGTATGGGAGTCTTTGCATAAGATGCATATTGGAGAATTCATCACAAAGGATTTTGACATTTGAGGTTTTCCTTTGGCGTATACTGGCGTAGGGGTAGATTTCGAATCCGATTTGGATTGCAAGCTATCTAGCAAGTTTGCAGTGTTTGTTAAGAAAGTTTTGAACTCGTCAAAGTTCGGTATTGCGGTACCAGCATCATTTTGGTTTCTTTCCCATTGGCGTAATGTGGTAGAATCTAGTTCGTGAGACATTATATATATGATGGTAGTTTCAAATAATTGGGCGTCGGAGGCTAGCGAGCGTAAAGCGGTGACGTGTTTGAATAATGCATCAGAGATCTTTCTTAATGCGGGAGACGCCTCCTTGACACAGGATTCTAAATCTAGTATAGATCTTAAATGATTGCGTATTAGCATGCGAGGCTGATCATACCTAGCACAGATTGCTTTCCAAGCAACTTGATAGTTGCCGGCGGAAAATTGTAGCGATTTGATTACCTGGCTTGCGTCGCCAGTAAGGCTGGACTTCAGATAGTGTAGTCGTTGAACGTCGTTTAGCTCCTCATTTGAATGAATGAGGCTGTTAAAAATTTCCCTGAACTCTATCCAGTTTTCTAAATCACCACAGAATTTAGGAATTGATATCTTAGGCAGATTAAAAAATGGGTTCTTGTGGGAAGAACTGTTAACGCTTCTCGCATCGGAATTGCACGACGGAGATATTGAAATGCGTTCAACTTTTGCTTTGTTGAGCAGCAATTTCGCGAATGAAGTCGCTTTAAAATAAGTAGATTCAAATTGTGCGTGGTGACATTCGTCGTCGCTCACATCAGAGACCAAATTAATAATTTTACTATGAGTCTCATCGTATTCCTTCATCAAGGGCGTTATAGCCTCCAATCTATCTTGGAGCTCAATTGCATCTTCCTCGGTAACCGTATCGTTATTAAGTTTTGAAATAAATGTTTGAAATCGCGTAAGCTTAGATTTAATTTGACCCCTGGCTTTCTTTAATTCGTCAGCCATAATGAAATAGAACACAATATTTTCACAATACGCTAATTTAAATTTAACTAGAATAGCGGCGACCAACAGACAATAAAATAATTGTAACACAACGAAATTTAAATCGTAAAATATTAAAGAAAAAGGACCTGATGGAAGCCGGTATGCAGATTTGCTAACAAAAGTTACTGTAAACGAGAAATTTTAAGAACTCTATTGTTACGAAATATTTTCGAAGTACCCGTATTTAAAAATACAAATTTAGCACTAATGCAATCTCTGAAGTTCGGCGAAATTTACATAAAGGAAATAATGAAAGGAATTTTACCTGGAAGGACCAAGAGGCAACGGCAGCTTACGGATGAGACCAAGTAGACGGCTTAACTTTTCGATCTTGTAGATTTTTTCTTGTAAGTTGAACTTCACTTAATGCACGGAATACGCGATTTTGATTAATACGCGCACACGCATATGTATATCCGGCTCGAAGGACCAAATGTTGTGTGGTAATTACCTTTGCAGTGGCAATTTACTGAACTCGTGGGGTCCACAATCCCACTGTGATAATTTGCGGCTATCACCAAAAAAATAATGTACTTTACATTGATTTGTAGAACTTTGCGGCGTCTAACCAAAATAAAACAAATAGGTAGCGTAATAACAATTTACATTTAATTAACAAGAAATATATACATTGAGGTGAACAAAAAGGTGCTTACTGTTCAGCAGTTCGAAACCGACTCTGCTTCATTTAGGGATACTTGTCCCTGAAATCTTAAAACTACCGTTAGGCCTTGTCGAAATACCAAGAAGGTCTCTTCTAAATAAAATACTAGGAAATTCTCAACAACTAAAAGGTCTTTTGTGAAAATACTAAGAAATTCTCAACACAGTAGTAGTGGAAAACTTCATCATTGTAGTAGTTCTGGGCCTTGAGTGGTGCTGGTTCTTCGGGTGGTCTCGTTTTTTCAGTTCAGTGTTCTCCTGAGTTGTTCTCAAGTCAGCAGGATAGCATTATTTGCTTTTGTTTGTGAAAATGACCGAAAACAAAAACAAAACTTGAACAAAACGCATCTCGCTTGATGGAAACAAGAGTTTGAAAACACAAACTCAACTGTCCGTTTAGTGGAAAACCGGCATTAGTACCGCAGTCCAGCTTCAACTGAACTATGCCACACGGGCCGGCAAACTTAATTATCTGATGACAAATAGTGAAGAGGTATTACAAATCTTTTTTCGTTAAATACATTTAATTTAAAAAAGGCTTTAGGACTTGCACTTAACATTGAGTCCACAACGCTTTCTAAAAAGCGCGATAATGTGTTTTCGTTCCCACCACAGTTCATGAATCATTGCAAAATCGTTTCTATAACTACTTTGGTTGTTCAATGATATCCACCAAATTTCTAATACAGTTGATATGCGTATAAAATGAAAATAGGAAAAGAAACGCGCGAATTTACTACATCCAATTAAGGATATTCCTTTTTTGCCAAGTATGTGGAACTCGTTTCACAGTCTCGTAATAATAATAGCGTGAGCATAGCCTTTTGGCATTGGGTTACGCTGGCATGGTTTGAATACTAATTGGTTTATTCAAAAATTATTGAAATATGAAAACGGAATGCTCAAACATCTGCGCGAGTTAATGGTGTCAACAAATTTATAAATGTGAAAATCGTGGATGAAGATGAAATAGGGGAACAGTCATTGTAAACGTGCTAATCGTTTCATTCAGCACGTGATCAATTTCAACCATTTTGCAAGCGGAAATCGTATAATAGTCACCCCTCACTATTAAAGCGTGCCCCGTGTAACAAAAAATGAGTAGATGACACTAATAATGGATTACAGCAGGCATCTTCTACCATATCTGCTTGTAATGGACATAAAGCGATGGTCTTATTCTACCCTAATTTTATAAAACATATTTTATGTATAAGTGTCTCAAAAGACGTTGTAAGTACGGTACTACGAAATCTGGCTAAAGTAAATATCTGGGGTTCCTCTTTTATTTACCGTCTTGGATGTGTAGCTGTCAAATGGAAATAAAGGGGGTATTAAGCGCGGCTGACAGCCGGCAGGGCAGGATAGGGTCGCTAAATGGATTAGATCCAGACAGGGGGAATGGAAAAATATTACACAACTAACGATGATAAAAAGGCGCCATTTTAATTCTCCGCGAGTGTGGATCAGCACGGATTTTTCCCTTCGCTTTTCTTTCATTTGAAGGGGAATTTTAATGATATGCTTTACACTCGCATAATATTCTTACCTCACAACCACCCTCCGATTTTTAAAAGATCAAAACAATTTTGTGATCCTTCGAAACGCAATGCAGTGAAAATCCATTGACGTATCTTATTAATTAATTAATTAATTACGTTATAGACAAATGCAATTGAAATATTATTTGTGTACTCAAATGTGGCCTATTTGCATCATGAATGTATTCATTGTGAATATAAAGTGAGATAAATTGATTATCCAACTTTGCACTGGCTTGATGCCTGCCCCAAATTTATGGTTTACTCAATTATTATAACTGCTTGTTGGGGTAAACCGCATATAGCTACCGATTATATCTAAATTGCCTTTATATTAGTATACTCGTGGCGAACGATGTTTTTTTAGCACACGACACGCGTGCATTATTGATTGGACAAAATAAACAACACGACCACTAAGAGATTGCTATGTCCAGATATCCTTGTGGGTTTTTAGTTACAAAACGAAAATGAAGTAAAAAAAAGGTGCTAAATTCTTGACATAACAGCTTCCCAGCGCAAACCAAAAATTGCACCTCTTCAAAAAATTGTAACACTTCCCACGAAAGTTTATTTTCCGATGTAGATTAAGAATATTCAATAAAGAGTGTATGTTTTTATTTGCAAAAATTAGTTGCTATACACTTAACCCTTAAGGAACAGTTATATTAAAATGTGTATAGCATCATTAAATGGATCCCTCCATATGAGGAATATTTTATATAAATTATTTCTTCTCCGGTAATGGACTTTCTCGGGATAAATAGGACACCCTTTATATAAATTAATTAAGTAACCTTAAAATGAACTGGTTGTCGTAGCTCACAAAGGAAATGTCCACTACATCCTCGGCTACACTCCAATTCGTTTGGCTTATGCAGGTTTAGTTAGTGTTAGTCCCCTGAAACTGATATCTTTTCTAGGCAAAAATGATTGCTTCAAAACTGTCTTATATAACTCGCTATTTATTTTCATGCTGTTCCAAATTCCTCGGACAAAAACGCAGTTTATCCTTTATTAAATCCATAATTGTAATTAGTTCACATCTAAGTGCTCCATCTATGAGATCAATTAGCTGCCACGAGCAGAAGTAGGAGCTTTAGATTGGGATTTCTTATTGAAATCGTCAACAGCTTTAACATCTCATAACAAACCTTTAGCACTTTGCATCCATCAATCCTATTTATACTGAGTACCAAGGCCTTGGTTAAGTATATAAGATTTTCCTTGTCCACAAGTAAACCTAATGTGGCGCTTTCATACTTGAATTTAGCGCCAACAGAGTCACCGCTGACTGTTCTTCAGAGAGAATAGATAGAGTGACATTATTCTATTGTCAGGTAATTTTGAGTTGTGAATATTTTCAATAAATGTTTAAAGAAATTGTCAACATACACGACACATAAATATGTATCTATTGTGGCTCCTGTAATGAAATTTACCAATTACTGTAGAAATTATTATAAAAATACTCCATCCACGCACTACACATTCGCAGGAGGGTAGATTGTGTATGTGTTTTTTAGTTTTTAGCTAGTGTTTGGTTTGTTGAAACCAAATTTAAGTATAAGTACTATAACAGTGGATTAAGCAAGCGCTGCGTCCACTCGAACCCGCATAAACGGCCAGCTAGCTCAGGGTTGTAGAATAAAAAGCCTTGAGATGCTTCACAGCGATTGAGTAGATTGGGCCAGCTTGCAACATACCATAGAATTGAGCGCCACCCAGCTTCTTTAAATGTATAACTCTCCCTGTATCAAACTGGAAAGATACAAGAGAGTAACAATGAAATCCAGTAAAATATTGATATATTGTTCTACAACCATAAGCAAAATCAAATCAATAACTAAATTAAATTGAAATTAAACTTTCCATGCCCATGCAAAATAAATTTCCATATATCAAAACTTTAACGTGAAAATTGAACAAAAATCCCAATTAAATCCCCTAACTCAATAATGATCGCGTAAGTCGCGGTGCTGATTTCCGCAATAATTTCCAAGAAGTAAAATTATATCTCGAGCATCGGTGATGAAAGTACAAGCACACATAACATAAGAACAAAATAGAAAGCTTATTGTACCTAACCAAATTCGGGATCGATTACGATGAAAAAACACGACGGCCTCGGATGGAAATCCGCATGTTCAAATATCTATATCCTTGAAAAGGTGACCAAGAATTACAACTCGTTTTAACTCCAGCTTATTCGGGTTGACTCACTGCCCTAGTTCCTTATCTATGGCCAAGCATCGAGATTAACCTCCAAACAAAATGATAATCCAAATTCACGTAGATATAAGAAGAGTGGATGCAACATTCCAGTTACTAAAATTTAAACTCGAACCTAAAACTGACACTATAGCTTGAACCACAAATTAAAACCCTGAAAGAAACTATATTTAACACCTCACTCTAACGGCGCACTCAACATACGTCAAACCAATAAGAAGGTTACTCATCAAAAAATTAAATTACAGCAACAACCTAAAAAAATGCATTAAACAGGCGGACAAAATTGCCGTACTTACGTAATTAGTGAAACCCAAGGTAATATAGCCTCCGCAAACCGCAACTAAATCGCGATGCACAATATATAGGTTCAATCGCCAGAAATGCCAGAATAATTATTTATAATTGGAAATTACAATTAGAACTTCATGGTTTTCAGCATGCTTGTACTAGAATGCCCGGAAAAGGAAATTAAAAAGCAAACAGAATGCGTGTTGAGGCATGCGTGGAAAATTCCACCGA